TTTCGCACTCGCACGCACTCGCTCGCCTGTTCCGAATATAGTGGTTGTGTTCCCTTCTGTGAGTCTTTTTTCTCCGGCTTTGGGCACTGGAGCGGGCTAGCAGCAGATACCACGGCGGACCAGCAGATATAACAGGGTGTTAAATCAAATCCTATTTGATACACACCAGCTGATGGTTTCCCTTGGGTGTTACTTGCAAATTTTGTTGTGATCTGGTTAGTGGAGTGACGTCACGTTGACTTTTGGTCGACTAATCTTCACCGACAAACGCGCAGGGGTCATGAGTGGATTCAACTGGTCCAGAACTACTCTCCACATTTCCACGCCTTCTATTCTAGTGTGCAGTTCTCAAGTTGTCTGTTCTATATAGACCTTAGCGCAATCGTTACGTTGACTGGACTCGAGATGGCTCAGTGGTTAAGGCAGACACTTACTGGTTCGAACCCGACCTCTCCCTCAACTGCATGTGTGCAGAATGCACGTTCTTCCTCCCCCCCCCCCCCCCCAGGAACGCTACTCCTACGTTAGTCGTGCTTAAAACGCTTTGAACGACGTCAGGTGTACATGGTTTGTACGGAATAATGACAATCATAACTTGGGTGAGTATGGAAATCCGACTAAAGCTTTTTTTGTCCGAAATCTTTTAAAACCAGAGATATTGGTGACCCATTGTTCTTGAGTGCAAACCACAAGGTCACAAACGGAGTGAGAGAGATCCCGGTATGCTTTTCTGTCTTCCACCAGTCTATTTACCTTGAAATGCGTTTGTTCTAAAAAAATGGCAGTACTAATGGCAACTAATTGGCCATTTCTGAGGTGTTTGTTATGGCACATTCGTATATAATGAGACGACGTCGCAACTCACAGGTAATCTGCGACTTTGTTGGCAAAGTTGCACAAAGTCCTCATTGATTTTCCCGTTCGTTTTTTAGAACACCGGTTCATGGGATGGGGAACCTATTCTGTTTTCTATCGGTTCAATAGGTCACCTACGTAGCGGATTTCCGGCAGGCTGTATAGCTTTTTAGGGTACAATCGATGCCTCTCACCTAGTTCAGATGGTTTATTACTCCCGCTTTACTCCTATTCATTATAAACATAATATTCTCACTGCCGAGCCGGCGGTTTTAGAATACTTAACACTCTTCGCTCACCCAGTGTAATATTTGCAGATCTCCTGGTTGATGAGACTTAACGACCGTGGTAATCTATACCCGCTTCGGTTTTTGAAACAAAGAAACACTAAAAATTATTTTTTTCTGCTGTCATCACAATTTATAGTAATTGCAAAATTCGAGAGCTCCTTAAAAGAGACAACACCGGTTTTTACTTCACCAACTGGTGGACTGTTCACGGCCTGCGGGAATACTGAGTCGTGAAACGTGACCTCTAGACCTGTGTACTCATCTACCTTTGCAGTCTTGTCCTTGAGTAGTCCTCATTTCAGTCACCCTGTTATTGGAACCTGTGGGAGAGGGTGTGTCAGTGGAGCTGACATGCTGAGTAGTTAAGTGAACCTCCTGGCCGCAAAGAATACCCAAGACTAAGAACCCAAACCCGACTATAAGAGTTAGGCACACGCGCTAACCGGCATTATCTTTCAGCATTGATTTAGAGTCGAAAGTGGTATCGCTGAGTGGTTTGTCACCTGTCTTAAAACTAGGCCAACCGAGTAACCTAGTCACCTTTGATCTGAAGAAACTTTTGTTTCAAAAAAACAACTGTTTACGAAGCTCTCCTGACTTCGCAGTCGAAGTTAAAAATTCTTCAACTGACTGAATATCACTCAGTTGTTTCTTCTGCTTCCGAAAAGTTCAAAAATTAGATAAAACAAACCTGAAATGAGAAACATTGCTGCATGTTCAAGTTGTGACTGATTCAAACTAGTGTTTGCTTTCCAGTGTGCCTGAATGCATGCATGCAACATACAGTTTTAAAAACCTCGAAAATCAATCAGATGTGGATAGTTTTCCAGAAACTAACATAAAAACAAACCATTGTCATAAATTTCAATTGGCATGGTCACGGAGAATCGGAAATGGCTTACGCGATATTTGGACAGTTCTATTCGAATGGCAATGTACAAGCTGTCCAGCAGTTTGATAAATTTTTCACGCTAAAATCAACAAAGTGGAAGAGAACAATTGTGTGAGTCCAAAATTACGATGAATTTTATTACGGTGGTGAGCAGTGGTCAGAAGCAGGGGCCAGAAGCGAAACAATTGCCAGGATAAGTTGAACTCAAACAGTGCCAGTGAGTTTGAACACTGTTCGGGACCTCGTACTGTACTTGAGACTTGCAATGCATGTAAGCGAACCTGTTGCCAGTTAACTGGTTAAACACTTTCAAGCCAGTAGCCTCCTCTGATTCGCTGAAATGGTCACGCTGCGTAAACAAAACCTGCAGCGCCTATCTCTTATCTTTGCAGTGCTGGGATTCCTCAGAGTATGATGCCCACATATCGAGTGTCAATGATCCCAATACCTGGATGACCGGAAATCATCCAATTCCGTTTACTAGAAATGGGGTCATGATATGAAAAAACATGAGTGCTCCAACAGTTGATCGCCATTGCTGACCACACTGGAGACAGCTGTTTGAACTTAGTGTGCACTCACGCACGCACGCACGCACGCACGCACACATGCACGCACACACGCATACGCACGCACGCACACACGCACACGCACGCACGCTGCCTGACTGGCGACCTGTCAGCTGTCCCAAAATGGGCTGAATACGGTGGGAAACTTACACCAAAATTGCTTGCGCTGAAACGTTCGCTTGCCGTTTGGCTATTGGAAGACGTGGTGTGAGCGTAGAACGCATTGATGTTGGCCAGCAATACGGAAAGTACGGCAGGCACAGATGGACAGTTGTATTTTGTGGTTAGACAGGCAAAGTGGCTGCGGGGGGATGAAAAAAAGCGCATGAACTTTGAGTAAACTGAGAAAACACGGTTGATCAAATGGGAATCGGGTTAATCCTGAGCAAGTCGAGATATCGGCTTGTCTGTGTGTCAGTGTGTCAGATTTCACGACAGTTCATCAGTCCATCAGTTAAAAGAACTCGGCTTCAAAATATACCTATATACCACCGGGATCATCAAACTACAAGCCAGCCGGAGTTAGGTTAAACTAACCGCACACAGAAACAAAGATGCCTGTCAATATCAGTAAGTGGTTTGTGTTACGACTGGCAATTCGATGACCACTTATGCCTAAGCCATAACAAACCTCCCTAGCCATCGGCTGGCAACCAGCTATGTTTTTCTGTTCTGCTCCGATAGACGGCACGCAGTACCCTTGATGCGGACCGCTCTAAAATTTCAAACCGCCCAGGGACATAACAGTCCTAATTTGGATGTAAAAGCCAGCCAAAGCTTGCAACCCGGAGGTCCCTGTCAAACAAGGTGGCATGGTTCAACCTACAATGAGAAGGAACCCATGCGGGATTCCAAAATTTTGTCTATTTCTCTCGAACCTCAGTACTCAGGAAAATCACGTCGAATACCAGTTTATACGCAGCTGCACACACACTGGCAGGTCAGAGAGGACCCCACTGGCTAATCGCCGGACTGGTCGACCGAAGGTTGAAAACTTGGTAGTCTGATCGTTCGCAAAATGCATCGTAACCAGTGGTAACGGGGACGATCCCTTATAGTCTTCAAAAACGGTGACATTCCGCAAATCTTGTTTCCATATCATATAATTCGCAGAAGAAACCTAAATGATTGTATGTGTTCACAAGCTTCCACCGTCATTTCAAAAATTCCAATTGAATCCGGTTTCATAGAAATAACATACTGTGAATTGCATCACCTGATACTTATAAGTCATCAGTAGACATATTAGTTCAGACCAAGCTTTAGCTAAATTTCTACTTTCTGGAACTGATCAGCCAACTGTGTAGTGTGCCTCAGGTTTGAGTTGGCGCAGTACTAAACATATCGAAGGCTTTATCGATAATTATATGCTGAACAAGAGGGACCAAAATGATTTTCGTGGATCTTCACGTTTGACAGTTTTGTCCTTCAAACGCTTTGTTCAGCAGAATCNGAATCAGGGATATAAACAGCTTGTCCTGCTGAAGGAAACTACTCACAAGGTTGCTGAAAACTCTTCGACAGCCCAAGGCTCCTTTTGCTCTTCCACTTCGGGTTCATCATCTAGGCGCAATCCCCGAGTTTCCGTCAACCTTATGTTCTACTTGAACCCAAATTGCACTGTTTTCGAGAAATACACTCATTTGCAAACCTATTTGGTCTTACAAGTGACTCAACTAAATCTCTCGTTTATGAAATTCTTCAAATGGATCTGCTGCACAAAATCCGTTTCATGTTTCAGTTGGCACGATATCCGAAATATCGCAGAATATTTTCATTTTGGAAACTACAAATAAGGTTGCTGACCCGATCGTGGGCTATCAGACTTTTCAGCAACCTTGTGAGTAGTTTCCTTTATGAAAATGCTCTTGTTTATGATAAATTGGTAGATATTTAGCGGTTCGTTTAACACACTCACTGATCAGTGCCTTTCGATGTTATGAACAATTCGTTGAGGACAATTCTGGATATCAAAAAAATGTTTAGCCTTCTCAACAGTTCGGAAAAAATCACTAAAATTTATTGACAGCCAGCCGCCAGCGGTTCCGCCTTGTTTGAGACTCACGACCTCCAATCAATATTTCCCCGGTGAGCATAGAAATTGAGAACAATTCAAATATTATAATCCACGGGACATAATTCTTTTCTGTCTTTGCTAGCAGTGCATATCCCCCTTGTTACGTCTTCTGTAAGTGTACTTTTGGATAAGATCTTGTCTGTAGCGTATGGCGGCGTTGCTTGAAAAACGTACCCACCCGTCAAATGATCAGGTTCCAATTTACTCATCGAATGTTGGACTAGGAAACGAAAACCAGGTTTTTCTCCCACCGATCTATCAGTTTACGGATTAGTGATTCAATTCGAAAAATGAGTTGACCACGAAAGATACATGTTGCTACAACAGGCACAATTCGCTTGACGAATTCACATGTTGCTACAATAGGCACAATTCGCTTGACGAATTCACAGTACAACGCTTCACAGACGACGGACAAACACGACTGTACAACATCAGACATGAGTTGAACATGAAAAAAGGGTTGCAAGACAAACAAACGGCGCATGGCAACAGTCAACAGACTCAATTGACCGACAGTAAATTATCAAAGAGATGATCTCAAGGGACCTAGGCAATTACCGGTGGAAATTTCAAAGCGTTGATTTCCCGAAATTTCGCTCAATTTCAAATAAACTATGCCATGTTCCGTCCGTTTTACCGCAACATAAATTCAAAAACAGTTTTGTCGACAATCAATAGCATTTTTTCCCCGAATGTCGGGGATAGTATCCTTATTACGGTTTCCTTGTAGTAGTATCCATTTTCAGCAACCCTGTGAGTAGTGTGTCCCTTGAGGAAAGTATAATGCGATATCTCAAAAGATGGGGCGGCCTTTGTGCAGCGCATCCACTTAAAGGCGTTCGGCTAAATTCAGTCGTTAAAACCTAAATTAGTTTGACAATGAGTGCATTTTGCTAATTGCGTCTAATGTGAATTCACTTAGAACATAAGGTTGCTTGCTGGACCCCAAGAAGAGCGACACTGGTAACGGGCTGTCGAAGAGTTGTCAGCAACTTTATGTCCTGCCAACACTTAGTAGCTTCGTTACATACAGAAATCTGGTATTCCGCTTTCCAAAGTCTGAAATGTCACACCAGA